TCTCTCTTTTTTATTCTATCATCTGAAGATCAAATTCTTGCCAGTTTAATCGTATTCATTTTAAAATATATTTTTCTTGCATATATATATACTATACGTTTTTTCCAGCCTTCTAGTTGTTGTACAGTACGTTTGTCTGGCAATCTTACTCACAATGCTGTCGGAAACTTAAGTCCATCTAGTTGATTTTTAAGTTGCTGTAAGTACAAATCTTTTAAGTACCATGGCAAATTAAAAACTAAGAAAGAGCATCATTGCCATCTGGTGGAGAGATGTACTATTACCACACAAACGAAACATTGTGTGACTCATGGACTTCTTAATACCTCCTCAGTTAGGCTGTCAACTCTTTTATTAGTTCTTTTAAATTTGTCCCTTTCTCCATTCTCCCAGTCCTACCTCAGTCCAGTTTTAAACTAAGATTGTTGTTTCTAAAATCATTGCTTTTTAACTTCTCTCTTTTGTTATTATTCTTTCAGTATATCTTCCTTGTTTTTATTGTTGACCTTACTTTTACAATTCTACATTAATTTGATGGGTTGTGTATCAAGTTCTTGCTTGTGGTCAAAAAATTTAGAAACAGTAACAGCAGTCTGACTAGGGTTGAGAACAAAGTTGAAGTCCAATAAATGCTGGCTGAATGGGAGGTATTTGGCACCATTTGCAAACTTGCCTGGTTTATCTGGGAAGCAGTATATGCACAGAAATTCCCATGTTGTTTCCCGTAACATAGAGATAAATGACCTTCACATGTGTAACACTACTCTGGGCCTACCTAGATTTTTTAAAAATTATTTTTAATTATGAAAGGTATGTATACATGTCCAATATAAAAATATCCACAGTTCTGTGAATGAATAATTACACTGACAATGTTGGGTACTGAAATTTTCACCATGGAAGAATATGGTATGGGGGAAGACAAGGAAGAACCCTATGCAGTTGGATTAGAATCAGAGATGTCAGTAAAACTTGTGATTTCTAATATACATCCAAACCTCCATAGTGACCACCTCCCTACCTTGATCACCTCAAGCTGACTAATTTTCACAGATTGGATGTGCACTACATGTACGCATCAGTATAGTAGGCCTAGTTCCCAATGTTGGTCATTTCCGTATGTTGACCAGTTTGTTACAGTCAACAACAGTTGACCTTGGGTGGTCAACTTACAGAGTTTCTACAATCTACTGTATATGTTTCCTAGCTCATTATGTTGAAGAGGCCTAAAAGCAATGACAACCATTATCTACTAATAGACACTAAGGATCTTGGGAGACAAGGCTGATTGTAGCACTGATGTGGGAGGAAAAAATAGAAAAATAAACCAAGGTAACTTGGAATGTCGTATGCTGAAAAGTAAAGAACTGCTCAAAAAATAATAAGACCATGTCAAAAGGCCTCCCATTGGCCAAATTTGGGATATGATATTAAAACAAGTGACAGTAATGGACTGCATAGTATAGGAGTCCATGGGTTTATACTAATATGCTAATATGGGTGAGAAAAAGAGAAAAATTTTCCTTCCAGAATGCCACCTAATATACATAGACGGAATAAAATCAGAAAAATCACCACAATTAATTCAACTATATCATTGGATGTTAAAATTAGTGTGTGAAAATTTATTGAGAAGCAGAATACTTGAGAGTCTCAAAGTTTAGAGACTTTATTTCTTTATAAAATGCTTATTAATTTACTAGAAAAAATTAGAAACTTTACAGAGGAACCTAGTAGGTATCATCTAAAACAAGTGATCAAAATTAACACCCTTGTAATGAGACAACTGACCCCACATGATGTACTGAAAAGGACCCAGTGTCCTGCCAATAATGCGTAAAGCCAGTCTAATTATGAAGAGACATCAGAAAAACTCAAATAAAGGGTCATTCTATACAAAACCTGATCATGTATTTCACAACGCTGACATTTTTGAAAGTCTGGTTGAAGAACTGTTCCAGATTAAAGGAGACTGGATACATGACAAATAAATGTAACTCATTATCATTATCCCTGATGGGATCACAGAGCAGCAGTTTTTTTTCCTACAAAGGACATTATTGAAACAATTAGCAAAATATAGAAAAGATTTGCTAATAAATATGTTAATGTAAATGTTCTTATTTTTATAACTGTTCTATGGTTACGTATAAAAACTCTTATTCTTAGGAAATACAAACTTAACATATCTGGGATAGAGAGGCATCACATCTATAATGAACATTGAAAGGTTCAGGAGAAAAAGCACTTATTCTAAACTGATAAAGGGAAACCTCTGAAAAAAAATCACAGTTTTGCAAAAATCCTAGTAAAAATTTATTTAGATGAGAATTACCAAAGGATGCTAAATCCAGGAGGAGCCGGTTTGATGAGGAATAGAATTATTAATACAGTCTCAAAGTTTTTCCTCACAGTTACCCACTAATCACAAAAGGAAAAACAGTGATTATACAGTGGAAAAACTGGACATCTTACCCAAGGGATCAAAATTAACATTACCAGTAAGGGGCAAAGGGACATCCTGGGCATTTGTGTGGGATAGCTGGAGGACATACCACTTACAGTATTTCAAGACACACCGTACGTGAATCTAACCATGAGGAAACATCAGAAAATCCCAAACCCAAATTCTATCCTTTAGCTGCCTTGTATTTTTCAAATATACAAAACATTATGAAAGACAAAGAAAACCTGAGGAACTGTTCTAGATTAAAGAGTCATGATCACAGAACACATGATAGTGGACTGGATCCTCCAGTTAAAGAAAATATTACTCATAAACAACAAAAGAAATTTGAACATGGACTATATAATATTTTATCACTGTTTAATTTCTGAATTTGATAATTTGATAGTATGCTTGCTTTTATGACATACGCATATGTAGTATTAAAAGGCAAAGTGTATGATGTCTACAACATTCTCTCTAAAGCAGGTGTCCAACCTTTTTTTTCTGACCCACATTGGAAAAAGTGTTATCTCGGGGCACACATTAAATACACAAACAAAAGCTGATGAGCAAAAAAAGTCTATACATAATTTTCATTATACGCGACACACAGATGAGCAAAACAGGCCTCAGACTAAAGGGTCAAGGATAAAAATGTGTCAAAAGATAAAATTTGATAAAGAAAATTGATAAACATGGAAAACATTACAAAAGAGGTCAAAGTACACACTAAAGTATACCTTTTTCTTCTACTAAAAATTCCCGAAACAAATATATGCATATATGTGCATATAAATGTATATTTCTAAGATACTAACATTGTTAGTACTTACTGTGCTCCCCCCCCCCGGTAAGGGAATGAGGAGCTAAAATGTATTTGAAGATAGGCATAAGGGTTGTAAAGGGTTAAGTCTCTTTTCTGAACCCTTAGGCCCACTCCAGAGAAAAACAGCACTAGTCTGCAGCGTTTCCCATATGGATATCCTAACTTCTACAAATGTATGTAATTCTGTCATTTTGGGAATTATGTATCCTAATGAATAAATGTATAATATTTACTTAAGTGTTTTATTCGTATGTTTCTACTGTCTTTTTAAATATAATCTGTGATTTTAAAAAAATAGGTTCTTTAATCAATTTTTGCATTTACTTTGATAAAAGTTGTTTGGCCTTAATTCTGTCATCTTATTTTGCTAGTGTCTGTTTTTATGCCTTCCTTTAAAAAATATTTTATTGGGAGTCCTCCTTATCTAGTAACTAGTTCTATTCAATTTATGACAGTCATATTGTTATTATTTAGGCGATATGAAGTTTTTAATACTAACAAAAATCTTTACAGAAGAACCCAATCTGGCCACTGAATCCTTTTATAGAAAGAGGCTACTCAAGGTCTGAGTATAAAATGTGAATTGGGCAAGTCTAAATTCCAGTTGATCCCTGAGATGTACATTTTTATTAAGTCAACTAACCCAATCTTCAATGGATCTTGGACCTTCTCTGACCATGTACAAGGGACCATATCACAAGTCCCTTGTGATATGATTTTAATTAAAACCCCCCAAGTGATCAAAGCACGAGAGGAAATGTACTGCTCTCAGAGATATTATTTATATTTTACATATTCTTGTAAGTTTTCTGAATATGAACAAATAACAATGTATCCTAGAAAAAGCTATTTTTTAAAACCTTATAAATAAGTTCAATAAACGTATAAATAATTTTCAGAGTAAAGACACATCAGAATGTCACATCTATCCCATGTGTATTATCATACTGTCTAGTCTACATAGTTTATAGTGATAGGTATTTATATACACCACAACTGGAAATAAGGAATACTCGTTTGGTCTCCCATAGGCTGCAGGTTCTAAAAGTACAAATCCTAAACCTTTGAAGCCAGCATAAAAAAAATATTCACTTGAAATCCTGAAGTAGTCCATTAGCTGTCTATATTATATATACATAAAAGAAAAAAGAGTCAAGATATTTGCTTTGTTCTATTTATTTCTCTTGGAAGGCAAGGGAGGAGGTAAAAAAAGTTTGGTTTTGCTTCAAAGAGCTTTTCTTAAAGAATGGTGATTCATTTTCATTATACATCAATATGGACAGACATTGTTCTTTTGGTTTTCATGACAATTAAATTCAAGATAATATGTGTACTATACATGCATGTTTTTCTGAAATCCAGTGTATTCGTTTGTGCTCTTCTTCATATAGGGGAAGAACCGGCGCTTCGGCTTTAAGAATAAATTTTAAAAACCACAAATCTAACTTGTCTTCGATTTGGTTCTGGGCTAATTATTAATGAGCCATTCAGGAATAATGGCTTCAGACCTTTCATCACCTGTGATACTGCAATTAATTAAGAGTCCACTGATTGTAAGAACTACGCCACCGATAACAAAAGGAGAGAAGAATTCCAAGTCTGCATGCCAAGTTTGGAGCAAAATATCTGTAATCTTCTCACTTTTGTATTATTTATAAATAGGGGACAGGGGATAAGAATTACATGAATAATGTTAAGTAAAAATGCATACAGAATTGGGAAATGTTTTTCATTAAATTTGCCACTTATTCTAGTTCAATAAAATGCTTGTAAAGAAAATAACCACTTAAGGCAGAAGACTAGTTACATTGCTGCTGTTCAGAACTTCTTGAGAGCAAAAGAATGAATACCAATCATTCTGGTTTAAACTTAATTATTTGTCTAAAAACATGTTATTTTGTAAGTTGAATATCTATATTATGCCTTGAAAATTCAAAGCAGAAAAGTAAAATCACATAGAAAGCCAGAAACTTCATCAATATGTCTAGACAGATGTTTGCTTGTAGTTTTTAGTATCTAAAACCTTTTTTCCACACATGGAGCAGATACCTGAAACAAAAGAAAATGTGAACAATCAAATCATAACAACAACAGTTTCATTTATTTAAATCTATCCCAAAGTTTAAAACATAACTTAGCAACATCAGAAAAGAAATAAATATGCTATATATTTAATTCTTATAAGTTTTAAGTTCCATTTTAATTAAGAAAAAAAGTTTTGATTAGTAGAATTTAAGAAAGGCTTCTCCTTTTCTGTTTCCCAAATCAGCAGCAAATGAAATAGATTTGATATGAATAGAGAAATAGTACTGAAAGAAACTCACCCTTTTTGTAGGCACAGCCCTGGCAATAATGAGAACCTGGTTGGTGTACAGAACTTTTACAAATTCTGCAAGTGGAGAACTTATTCTTTCCATATGGATCAAATCTACAGAATTTTTAAAGATAGAAAAATGTACACTACATTAGAAACACTCATTAATAATCATACTTAAGCAACACCCAGAATTGACCCCTGTTCTCCATTCCCTCTATCAAACTCTACAATTGGTAGGCACAGCCCCCTGCCAACTGGCTATGGTCTAATGTGCCTGCATAGCTCTGCTCCTTCCACGTCATCTGTATGCTTAGGAAGAGTCAGTTGAATGGTATTTATATCCAAACCAGTTCATATCAATTGTATCTGTCATTCTATTTGCATAACATAAATATTATGGAAACTGACGAAATTTGAGTGCAAAAGAGTGAATGATTCCATAAAAACTAAGTGACTGCTTTAGGAAGACTAGACAAATGTGAATTACTAAAACTGATACATGGCTCAGTGCCTGTAGCTCAGTGGTTAGGTCACTGGCCACATGCACCGGGACTGATGGGTCCAAACCCAGTAGGGCCTGCTAAATAACAATGACAATAACAACAACAAAAATACCCAGGCCTTATGGTGGGCGCCTGTGTTCCCAGCTACTTGGGAGGCTAAGGCAAGAGAATCGCTTAAGCCCAAGAGTCTGAAGTTGCTGTGAGCTGTGACACCATAGCACTCTACCCAGGGCAACATACACTCTGTCTCAAAGAAAACAAAAAAAACTGATACTGAGGCCAGGCACGGTGACTCACGACTCATGCCTGTAATCCTAGCACTTTAGGAAGCCAAGGCAAGTGTATTGCTTGAGCTCAGGAGTTCAAGACCAGCCTGAGCTAGAGTGGGACCCTGTCTCTAAAAATAGCTGGGTGTTGTGGCAGGTGTCTGTAGTCCTAGCTACTTAGGAGGCTGAGGCAAGAGGATCACTTGTGCTCATGAGTTTGAGGTTGCTGTTAGCTATGATGCCACAGCACTCTACTAAGGATGACAATGTGAGACTCTGTCTCTAAAAAACCAAAACAAAACCAAATAAAACAAAAACTGACATTGAATGAGATATGGATAAGGTAACTGTTAAAAACTGGGGGAAAATCCTAAGTAGAAGAATTCCAAACTTCAAGTGTCAATTGTTGCTCTACTTAGGAGGTAATAAAAATATATATTCTGGTTATGATTTACAGGAGGACAATGAAGTAGAACTCCTAGCAGATTCATCCTCAAAAGGCCCTGTCTCAATATCAATGATTGATGAATATATCTACTGTTACATGCTTTAATTTAAAATAAAGTATGTGTATCTTTCAGTGATTGCCTGCGTTGACTGATGTTTTCAATTAACTAACCCAATCCCTTTGGATAAAGGATCTTCTCTTATAAAAATGCCATCTTACATTGACTGGACTGCAAAATAACACTAGGAAAAATACTTTCCCCTAAATTGGCAATACTATTCTGATTTAAAACTGCTTCCTTTACTACAAAATGAATTTTTGTTATAATTTTCATATACTGAATATCAGCACTGTCCTAGATACCCTCTCTTAGGGTACAGCACAAGAGCTCATTTTCAAACTAATTTTTCCTAATCCATGCAAATATCACTTTACTCTCCACAGAACATAGACACTGTCCTTCCTTTCAAAAAGCTCAGTTTGTTTGTACCTATATGTCTGAAGATCACTTTTTTCTTAAAATCATAGTTCATCATTCTAAGATACAAAATTTTTTTTTTTTTTTGCAGTTTTTGGCCCGGGCTGGGTTTGAATCTACCACCTTTGGCATATGGGGCCAGTGCCCTACTCCTTGAGCCGCAGGCACTGCCCTAAGATACAAATTTTAATCCCTGAAATCTTCAGTTAATTGGAAGAGCTTTTTCTTTCTTAAAGTAAAGATGCATCAAATAAATAATGGTATCACAGATTCAAAGCAATACAGTAGTAACTTTCTAAAGTTAAATATTTAGAGTACCCAAAAGTAATAGCTACTCTTTAAGGTTATCAGGGTAATTTTTGGAACCTAAAGGAAGTATATAGAACCATACAATCTGTACAAATAACAACTTAGTCAATCAAAAGAAGACATCAGTAAGTCGGTCAACAACATTATAGTGTGACATCACACTGAAGATTACTTAGGCTGTACTGTTTTATATCCATTGTTTAATAAGCAACTACTATGTGCCAGGCACTGTACACAGTAAAAGCTCTATTATTATTTCTAATCCTTGGAACATTGTCATAAAACAAGTACTTTACTCACTCAAGTATATACAGAGCACTTAGTATGTTCCAAATACAAAAGCTAAACTTGAAATACAAAGTCCCTGTCCTCATCAAGTTGATATTCTGTGAGAAAGGGAACAGATATCCTAAAAACAGGCAAGTTTTTCAGATGGTGATTTAGTATTACAGAGAAAATTCAGGAATCTGTGTCAGTGATGAAGGGAAGGAGAGAAGAGATTAGTTTAGATGCTACTTAGGAAACCCTCTCTAAGGAGGAGACACTTTCTCCTCGGGAGCTAAAACCCAAATAACAAGTACAAGCCAAACATGTAAGCTCTAAGGGATGACCTTGACGAGGTAGCAATAAGCACAAATCTGTTTAGGAGGGAGTGGGCGTGGCATATCTGATGAGGATGGAATATGATGAATGAAGTGTGTAGTACAACAGGAAGTCAGAAAGGAGGAAGGGATCATATGATGGAGGACCTTACATAGCAGGCAGCTTAGAATTTACCCTATGCGAAAAAGAAAACCAGTGGTGAATTTTAAGCAAAGGAATTACATGACCTTCTAAAATGACCATTCTGGTGACTATGAGACAACTGTAGCAATCCAGAGACAAAGCAGGAAGATAGTTATGAAGTCATTACAATATTCAAGTAAGAAATAGCACAAAGTAATAGCAGCAAGACAGACAGAAGCAAGCAGATTCAGGTTATATTTTAGAAAAGGTCAAAAGAACTTGCTGATGGTTATGGGAACTGGGAGAATGCGAGGATTCAGTGTTTCTCAACTAAAAAGTTCTTCTAGTTTTTAGGCTTGAACAACTGGATAAAACAGTGGAACCACTTACTCTGATGAGACGACTAAAGGAAAAGAGGCTGCTGTCAGACATCAAATGAGGTATGTCAAGCAAGCAGGTATATGCCTGGAGCTCAGAGAAGTTAGGACTAGCGATATATATTTATAAATAGGGGAAAAATTCTAGGAAGGAGTCCTGCGGTACTTGATTAAGAACATCTGCCAGGGAGCTGAGTGGAAAACCAGGAAAGTGGGTATAGCTTGGAAGCCAGGAGAATAAAGAGTTGCCAAAAAGAGAGAGCTACGAAGAGGTTAGGTAAGATGGGAATAGAGAGGCGGCCATCAGTTTTTAAGGTCACTTATGATCTTGACAAAAGCAGTCTGAGGGCTGTGGTGGGAATGAAGATGTGACTAGAGTGGCTGAAGGGGAGAATGAAACTTAAGGAAACAGAAAATTACTAGATAAAACTTTGGAAAATGTTTGCTGTGAAGGGAAGGAAAGATATGAGGTGATAGCTAGAAGAGTTCATGGAGTTTTCAATACTGAATATAATAAAGCATGGTAATAAAAACTGATTTCAAGATAGGAGGCTCAGTGCCCATAGCTCAGTGGTTAGCGTGGTGGCCACATACCCCCAGGTAGGCGGGTTCAAACCCTGCCTGGGCCTATTACACAACAATGACAACTGCAACAAAAAAACAGCTGGGCATTGTGGCAGGCACCTGTAGTCCCAGCTAATTGGGAGGCTGAAGCAAGAAAATCACTTAAACCCAGGAGTTGGAGGTTGCTGTGAGCTGTGACGCCATGGCACTCTACCAAGAGCAACACAGTGAGACTCTGTCCACCCCTCCCCCCCCCAAAAAAGATAGGAGATATTTTTATACTACTTCTCAGTAGAAAAAGTGGGTTGGGGAACCTGTGGCCTTGGGGTCACATGTAGCCTTCTGGATTCTTGAGTGCAGCCTTTGGCTGAACCCAAATTTTACAAAACAAATCCTTTTACTAAATCCTAGACTCTAGATTTAAATTTAATCTGACATCAAAACTTATGATCATTCCACATCTCCCTGCTGCCTCTGATTTGTATGACAATTAAGAAGTAGATAAAAATCAAGTCATATTTTCTGGTGAAACTGTAAAAAGAAGGTAGCACTAACTCTTCACATATTGACACAGTGGGGAGGAATAGGGTAAAACCAGTAGGTTATAATATATAGCTTGGCTTTGTGTGCTAGGAGCTACCTGACTCTAGGTTTTATCACAATGAAATGATACACACCAAATTCACTCTGGTCTGCTTACAATTAAAAAGAGTGAAAATTACATGACCTCTCGATAGATGCTCTTACCTTGCTTTTTTCGAAGTCAAGGCTTTATTTTCATTCAGCTTTCTTCCACCACTTTCTGTATCAAAATACATTTTAGTGGGTTATTTATACACATTTAACAAATAACATTTAATAGTTTAAAAGTTCACTCTTTGACCTTCTACCAATAAAACAGCCTATACCTAAATTTTTGAAATCTTCATTTAATAGCCTGGTTCTTAAGACTCTACATTAAAAGAAAACATTTATTAGGGAAACAATAAAAATTTGTATAAAATATAATCCTTTGGTTTCTCAGACTCAGAGTAGTATTTTAGGAATGGGTCTACATTTAATTCACACATATTGTAAAGCCACTACTTTGATGTCAAAGACTTGAATATAGTGGTAGTTTCTTTTCCTTCAAAAATGTATTTTACTATGTTTATTTAATAATCATGAAGGTAAATACTTCACTTTATGGCAGTTCTTGGCTGGGGCTAGGTTTGAACCCACCACCTCCGGCATATGTGGCTGGCACCCTACCCCTTTGAGCCACAGGCACCACCCTACATACTTCCCTTAATGGTAATGAAGGTGAAAACAGTTTAAATGATTTATTCAAGAATATAAAAATCAGGTGAGAGAGGAAATTAAATACCAACTCTAATTTAATTGAATTAAATCAAAGATTGTGAGAAAGTCATCACTTGAAAGTCATTTGGTACCTTTGCTATTTCCTGACTACCATATTAGGAACCTGTACATGTAACTGAGAGAACTAAATAGAAGATATTAACTCATTGGTCGATACAATCATCTTTAATGTTCAATAGATAGAATACTCTGAACACACAGCAATTCATTTTACAAATAATGTGAATGTGAAAACATTATTCACAGGAAGTCTTTGATTCAATTTCAATTTTCTAAAAGAAAAAATACCTGTGGTATTCCTAGCTCCATCCTTCCATGTATCTGGAGTGATAACAGTACCAAGTTTCTTTTCACCTGTTATAACAAGATAGTAAAAAGGGAATTAAAATTTACTGTCTAACAAACATGCTACATTGTGCCTAAAGTTCACCACAGTATCAACCATCATACAACTGTAGAAGACTGTTAATGCTGGGATTAGGCCAATAAACTGAGACTCAAGGTATTAACTGTTGCCAAAGAATAAATGTGGCCAAATAAAATTTGAGGAATAATAGAATGGCTTATAATAGGCTTTTACTATTTGTTTATACTTTAAACAAATCTGATAAGTCTACTTATTCCATAAATACTTACTAAGCATCTATTATGTATTAAGTGCTACAAAAAGTGCTGAGAAAAATAAAGCAATTTATCAGACAAAACTCTAGATTTCAAGGAAATTATAGTACATCAATTTCTCTAACAGTTGTCCTTAACCTAAGTTCCACAGACCAACGTTAGTAGATATGTGACCAAGGGGGAATTGTACACAAAACTTTTGCATACTCATTTTTACCCCCAGTAAGAACCTACAGCTTTCATTAGATTCTCAAAGGGATCAGAGACCCCCTTCAAAAAGTTAAGAACCATTCGATCAAAATATAAGCTAGAAAATAAAAGGTATAATAATTCAGAACTAGAATAAATTTAAAGCAAAAGTACCAGGAGAAATTCCATGCAGAAAAAAATAACCCTTGATAGTGAAATCCAAGATAGTTTTGTGGTGAAGACAACAGAGAGGATATGAATATGTGGCACAGGACTGTGAGGAAGAATGAGGAAAAGAGAGGGAAAACTGGACAAAAGACACATCCCGAGGAAAGGCATCAAAGCTCAAAGTACACATGGGCACAAAGAGTAGTTTGGTATTGGTATGGTCAAAGTGGGAAGGAGGTAAGAATCAGAGAAGGTAAAGTTAGAAAGATAATCTGGGGCTTATTGTTGAGGGTCTTTAATGCCAGGCTCCAAATATGTGAACTGCAAATTATTCTCTGCACATTGAGAACTTGCTAAAGTTTTAAATTAGGGAAACAGTAAATCACACTTACTTTTAAGTTCAATTCAAACATATGCTAGGCTTACTATAAACCATATCCCGGCCTAATGACGAATAAGAATGGGTAAGACAAGGTCCTTACCCTTTCGTTCTACTGTCTAGTGGCAGGAGTATAATATTTACTACAGTGACGAAAAAGAAAGATCAGAAAATTCAAGAGGAAAAGGTAAAGACGGTGTTTAATTGAGCATTTTTTATGGAAGGGGAGCTGATGAGCTCTGAGGGTGGAGGCAGGTAACAGAAATACGGAAAGAGGTGTAGAACTGACACCATTCTGAATACAAAATATACAGGACTATAGGTCGTTGGGGAGGGGCAAGGATAGTTTATAAGACAGGGTAGAAGGACAGAGGCTAGAATCATATCTGTGAGCAAAGAAAACAACAAAAGGTAAAGTGCCCGTTAGAGTGGAGTTAGAAGCGCCCAGCCGCCTCCTCCCTCAGAAACGACCCGTCAACTCACATTTTTCGCACACCATTCTTCCGCCGTCGCTCCCCTACCTGCAGAAGTAACAAACGCTTGAAAACATCAACACTACAGCCTGGGAAAGAGTCCACTTCCGGGTGACGACACTCCACTTCCGGCCTCGAAGCCCGCCTCTCCCGCCTGTCACTCACCTGGAAGACGGCGGGAGGAAAAACTACGACGAGTAGGCGGGGCTGCCCCATTAGCCCGCCCCTGCCTTTCAGCAATTGGCTTTGCGACCTTGGGTCTCCGCCCTACGGACCTGCGCCTGCGCGAGGGCCAGAGCAGCCCGTCGTACCTGATGGTAGGAGGCGGTAGTCCCCGCTTCCCTTCCGTGGGCGGGACAGTTAGGTAAGCCCCGCTGGACGCCCCCGACGCGCTCGCCTCCGGGGACTGCCAACTACCCCCAACAACTGCCGAAGTGACCGTGGGACTCAGAGCCCCTGGCCATCCCGCGCCCGCCTACCGATCACGTGCCACCCTTCCGGCGTGGCCCTGAGGCTGACCTGATGGATAAACACTGTTTTCGGATCCCACTTTCAGTCTCTTGTCGTCAGTTTACCCTTGTCTCCAACAGCTGTGCTCTTTGGTTATACCTCTCGGCTCGTTCCTCGTTTCCCGCCGGCTGAGTCTTGGGCAAAGTCCCTGGCGACCCAGTTTGGGGTAGGGCTGCAGATGGAGAGCCTACAGGGGCTCCTCTGGCATCAGCTCAGAAGTTCCTCTCCGCTGTGGTGCCTGTCGGAATGACCGCGCGCTTAGCAGGCGTCTTCTAGGGCACGCCGGGGCCTTACACAGTGCTGGGTTCTAAGGAAGGGCAAACGCTTGCCCTACTCTGGTTCCTTCATTCATTGAGCAAACATTTGAGTTTGGGTACTGCCCTCTATCAGACCAAGAGCTGCTGATAGCAGCTGGGATTCTGAGGGTGGCACTGAAAAATGTATATGTTGAGAGAATGGATTCCTGATCCGTTTGCCCGCCCTCAATCAGCTGGGGATGGAATCCGTGGGAAACTTTCTTTGTCCCTTCTTACCCTCCCTTCTGCTTTCTCCCTGATGCGTGCTAGGCTTACTATATGCGAGAAGAACCATTAGATAGTTTTAATGCTTGGGAATTTGGATGTGTCTCCTAACCTATTTATCCAGTTTCTTTATCAGTAAAATATGCGCCTTTGAGACTTACTGTGTGAATTAAATGAAAGCTATTTGGATAAGGCCCAGATCCACTCTTCTGTTTTTTGCAGTGAACGTTCTTCCCCCTACCACCATCTCCGTGTGTGTGTGTTATGTGTTTTTTATTTTTTCGTGATGTTTCTATTTTCTGGAACATTCACCAGTGCAACAGGTTGACTATTACATAAAGTTCTTACATAGTCAATATGATGCATAAGCCTTCAGGTAATTTAAATAATGTATACGCATGTATTTAGAGACAGTAAAAAAATTGTTTTACCATTCATGTTCTTTGGGTTGGAATTTAGCACCTGTATCATGTCATTTTGGTATATCTAGGGCATTGGGATCCTTTAGTTTGGCATAATGCTCTTTGAACGCTCTTGATTGCACTGGCCACCATTTGAGTATTTGAGTGTGCGCTTTGTGTCACTTGGCATTTCCTAGAAGATGCGAACTACTGTAATGTTAGACAAGGGTTAAAAAAAAAAAGTCAACAATTTAGCCAAAGTGTATTGATGGGGTTTTCTAGACTGCATAGGTTATATTTCAACTGGGGTAGATTATTTAAACCTTTCAGTTGATTTTATCTCTCTGATGTTGGCAAAAAAAAGTAAAATGATTCATTTAATTGATCCTAGCACATGATCCTTATGCAGAAACCAGTTATGATATTGAAGAAATTAGTAAATTTGTCCTTTTTGGGTTCTGAGAGATGTTATTACCATATTAAGAAAATCTAAATCATTTAATTGGTCCTAGCACATTACAGAAACCAGTTACAATGTTGAAGAAATCAGTAAATTTGTCCTTTTTAGATTCTGAGAGATGTTCATATCATATTAGGAAAATATAAGATAGAATGGAATATTGGTTACCTGTGTATTTACACATATGCATTTTCCTGTGTTTTGAAACAAAAACATTGCCCATACAAAGTTGGCTTCAGTTTACAGCTTATTTTTAGGTGTTGAAGCATTAAGAACAATGGAAAAAGTCACTATTACATATACTTTTCTTAATTTGTTTTTTTTGTTAGCCACAGAAGAAGACACCATGAAAGATACTGATATCAAGAAACTACTGTATGCCCATCTTTTATGCATATTTTCAATTATCCTAAGTGTCTTGATTCCACCATTATTCTTGGAGAACTTCTCAATATTGGAAACACACTTGACATGGTTGTGCATCTGTTCTGGTGTTGTGACTGCTGTCAATCTAGTATTATATTTAGTAGTGAAACCAAATACATCCTCTAAAAGAAGTTCATTATCACACAAGGTAAGGCTTACTTCTTGATAACTGATTTTTAGGTGGAACTGGTGTTTCATTTAATGGAAGATTAAAGTATTAGTCAAATCCTCATTGGATTATTTGCAGTGAGTAAAGGAAACCTGGTATTTTTTGTTGTTGTTGTTTGTTTGTTTGTTTTAAATCAGTAGCCTGTGTTATCTGCTGGAAGGCTGCCCACAATGTTTGATCCTTGCCATGCATTAATTGTGGAATTATGACTTCCTCAGTTGTAGTATAGCATTGTGAGTCTGTATAATTGCTATTTTGTGTCACCACGGAAAATAAATACACTTTAAAGAGAGAAAAGATGAACATATTATATTCTCAAAGAAAGAAAGTACATATGGCAATCTGTCTTTAAACTTTATTCTGTTAGACATTATAGTTTATTTTCGTTTGTTTTTGCACTTCTGAAAGACACTTAATGGGTTTTTCAGAAATTGCAAAATACATCTCTCTGGCAACTGTCGTTTTGAACATGTTGTTAGTCAATTTTCTTGACTAAAGAAAGTTTTCAGATATTAGAATCAATGGAATATTCACTGCAGTATAAGATATGGCTAGTACTTTAATAAAGTCCTCACTTACCATTATTCCATACTATATATAAGTGCTCTGTTAGGTAATTTAAAAATATCTTTATTACCTTATGATTTTAAAAATCATGTGTATTGGGTGGTACCTCGAGGAATAAGGTGCCAGCCCCATATACCATAGGTGGCAGGTTTGAACTGCAAAATAAAAAAAAAAAAAGAAAAGAAAATGATGTGTGTTTTATAATTATAAAGTGCCAAATCAAGAAGGCCTCTTGTGCTTGTATAGACATTTAGGTCTTTTCCATATGGGTCAAATAGTAATATGAATGTGATTTAGGGATTTATTTATTTATTTATTTGGAATTATTTAGTATTTTGCTTCTTTGGTGCAATTTTCCCAGGAATTTTATTTTAAAATGAAAAGAAAAAATTATAGTTACCTTTTGCAGATATTTCATGTATCAATGTATAATAAGGACTATGTATTTATGTCCTGGCTTTCTGTTATCAACAAAAATTTCATAAATATTAATTAGCCATGTAGCTCAGTACATACTATAGTCACAGAAACTCTTCTTGATTCTAATGTTGCTAGGTGGGTGGAATGAGGGAGTGATATTTGCCTTTTAGGCTTTTGCAATCTGTATTAAAGCCTGTGAATGTGACTGGGCACAGGATTTGTGATCTGATTTGAGGACTAAAAACATTCCTTTTTTATTTTGAGAGAGTCTTACTCTGTCAGCCAGGCTCAGGTTGAAGTGCAGTGACCTCATCACAGCTCACTGCAACCGACAATTCCTGGGCTTAAGCAATCCTTCTGCCTCAGCCTCCAGAGTAGCTGGAACTACAGGCCACCATGCCAAACTAATTTTTTTATTTTTTATAGAGATGGGGGTTCTCTGTTCCTCAGGCTACTCTCAAACACCTGGCCTCAGGTGATTCTCCTGCCTCATTCTCCCTGAGTGCTAAGATTTCAGTGTGAGCCTTTACAGCTAGCCATCTATTTTATACATTATGGGATCAAGTTATATTTGTAGATAAAATGGAAGAATTTATTGTCCTTTAGGCATTCTCTTCAGTCTTCTGATTATTCATTTTTATTTTAGGTAACCAGAGTTTTGAAATGCTGTATCTACTTTCTTATGTCGTGTTTCATCTTTCATGTAATTTTTGTTCTGTATGGAGCACCACTAATAGAGTAAGTTTGAAATTTTTACCTGAAATTCATGTTTTAAAATACTTATTAAACAATGTGCTAACTCTTGGCAATTAGAGAAAAACTGTTGTGTGCCTAATTAATGGATCAAATAGGGATACCAACATCGTTACCCTTCTTTAACAGTGTTATTCTTTTCAAAAACAGAGGCATAATCTAATACATTACATATTTTTATTATCTAGCTCTCTGTTACTTAATTGCATGTTGGGAGAAGGGAGGATAAATGAGAAACTATACTATACCAATAAATGTGTGGCCCTTAGAACCTCTTAGACAACTTACTATGATGATATGTATGTTAGTTACAATTATTAATAACACATCAGATCTTAGTTAATGGGATTCTAAAGTTGAAAAGTTTGTTTTCTTGGACGGCGCCTATGACTCAGGAGTAGGACGCTGGCCACATATACTGGAGGTGGCGGATTCAAACCTGGCCCCGGCTAAAAACTACAAAAAAAAAACAAAAAGAAAAGTTTGTTTTCTTAATGAAGGTCTATAGATTCCTTTATTCAGATACTTAATAAGCCAGTGTTTACAGTTTGAAGGTAAAATTTAACTCAATACTTTTCCAAAATTTACCACTTTTAAGTTATTTGAAGTCAAACTTGTGAATATTTCTTATATAATGCTTATTGTAGTCTGGGAAACATTAGTTTAGCAGTAATGAATGATCATGGTGAAATGAGCGAGATATGTGTGTGTGTATAGGCATATATTGCTAAATATATAGTTTTATATGTATATTTATACATAGTTATACATGCACACATTAACGGGTTATTCTTTTCTAGGTAGGGGAGGACAAGACCTTTGTAATGGGAAATGGTGGTTTCTGTGTAATCCATTTTAGAGTAGAAAGTAAAGGTCCAGAGCAGTGGTTCTCAAACTGTGGTCTTTGAACCAGCAGCATCAGTATTTTCTTGAAGTGCAAATTCTCAGGCTTCAGTCAGAAACTCTAGGGACCCATTGTAATCTTTAGTTTATCCAGGTAGTTCCCAGTTAAGTTAAAATTGAACCACTGATGGTAGAGAAAGCTCCAGAGACTATTAAAAAAGAAAGCTAATTGCCTAGAAATGTTTTTTTTTCCTTGCGATGGAAGTCTCAGCGTGGATCTTAGGGCCTTTAGCACTTCTGAAATCTATTATTAAAGCTAGATATTTACTAGATTCTTTTAAAGGTTGCATTTGGGTAGTAAAATTATTTGTAGTCATCATTTTGGTGAGACTCATGGTACCTCTCAAAGTAAAACATAAGAAAATACTTTTGTATTTATGCAACAAAGATGATGTATGTATATGTGCACATTTAACGCTTTTTAAAAAATTAATGAAGGTTTGTTTTTTTTTTCTAGGTTGGTGTTGGAAACATTTTTATTTGCGGTTATCTTGTCTACTTTTACTACTGTACCTTGTTTATGTTTATTAGGACCAAGGCTCAAAGCATGGCTAAGAGTTTTCAGTAGAAATGGGTAAGTTTTAATTTATATTTCAGTGACATTTGAATTTTTTTTAAATAATGAAGTATTTTTTATTCATGGCAGTTTACAGGTGTGTTTTTCAGCATTGTATGGTTCTGAGAGGTGCCTCAAGGTGCTTCTGCCAGGTGGAGACTGGAGATAGGGTGGGCAGAACTGTAAGTCCTTCCGTCCAATTTAGCAAGATCAGCTCTGCTTTTTTCTGGAGCGTAGAGTTCCACTTTTAGCCTTTTGTTTGGAAGAAAAGTTTCTGCTACCAAAAGAATGCTTTGAAACCACTGCCCTGGAATAATTTGGCACTGTGATAAAATTACTACCAATAAAGTTGCTTACCATGCATTTTGTAATGTAGAAATGGGAGTCCAAAACCTAAAAATGTTTTGTGTGACAATGATGATTTCTTGTTTATCCTTTTTCATGCTATGATATCAGAGTGCGAGTTTTACAGGATTCAATTTTCTTATCAGCTGTATGTATTTTCAGCATAGCTAAGTTAACATTTTAGCTTCTTGAAAGGCATTGAAATGATATGTGCCAGAAATAGTTGAGTTCTAAGAAAACCAGAAGATTCTTTGCTGTCCATAATTTTGTCCTCTTTATCACTCAGCAATAAAAACTTCTTGAGTCCTTACTCAGTGTTCTGTTATGCTCAGCTCTATGTGGATTCTGAAGTCCTATTAGGGAGATTCTTTCCCTGAGGAGCTTGCATGTTCAAGGGACAAAAATGAAATGAGCAAATGATATAATACTAAAATTGTGTAAACCAGGGGTGTCCAACCTTTTTTCTTCAGTGCTGCACATTGGAAGAAGGGTTGTCTTGGACCACACTTTAAATACACAAACACTAATGAAAGCTGATAAGCAAAAAAAAAAAAAGTCTGTACATAATTTTTATAGTATCAGACACCACAGATAAGCAAAACAATTCTCAGATAATCAATCCACAGATACCGGACACACAGATAAGGAAAACAGTCCTCAAATCATCCACATGCAGCCAAGGGGTGTAAACCCAGCAATAAATCTTATAGGAACTAAGAAGGGAAGGGGATCAATAAAGAACGGAGCTGAAGAGGGGAATGACCTCTGACAGACTTGGGTCAGGGGAATAAGACTTGGTGAGACTGAGGAGAAAGGGAAAGACGCCTCGTGCCAGGGGAATGAATGTAAGCATTGAAAACGGAAGTGAAGTGCGATGGGAAGGAAGCACCCAAAGGAGAACAGAGAATATATTTTGGGAGCCTCCTGCAAATTACTGACTTTTTCCTTTTGAAGTTATTACTGTTTGGTTGCCTTTAGAATTATCTTCTAGAATCCATAAAGTTTCCAGAAAACAAATGTGTAACAACTGAAAACTTTTTCTATGTTGTTACCATAGTATCCCAAATGGAATTAATTTCTTCTGGCATTTTTGTCTGAAATTTTTAAACAGTGAAGATTGATTAAAATCTTACTGGCTTGGATTGGTGATTTATCCAGTTTTTAATTCTGTGTCTAACATTTAATGGTATATGTATTAGCATGTGATTTTACAATTAGTTCTGCTAACTGTAACATGACATAAATGTTCCTAAAATATCACTGTACTATGCAAAATGGGCAATACAAACCTCGGAGCTTGTGGGAAACTTGGAGTTCTGGGAAAATTGATAGGTGGTTCATAAGATTGAAGGAAAGAAACCATCTCCATAACGTAAAAGTGCAAGGTGAAATAGCAAGTGCTGATGTAGAAGCTTTAGCAAGTTACCCAGGAGATCTAACTCCATGATCTCTAGGTCTTTCATGATCTTCAAGATCATTGAAAGTGGCTGCACTGAACAACAGATTTTCAGGGGAGATGAAACAGCCTTATAGTGGAAGAAGAGGTCATCCGGGACTTTGATAGCTAGAGAGAAGTCAACGCCTAGCTTCATAGGTCAGGCTGACTCTCTTGTTAGAAGCTAGTGCAGCTGGTGACTTTAAGTTGAAATCAATGCTAATTTACCATTCAAAAATCACACTGCCCTTAAGTATTATGGCATTACTCTGCCTGCACTCTATCAGTGGGACAACAAAGACTGGATGGCACCATGTCTGTTTACAGCATGGTTTATACTCAATATTTTAAGACCACTTTGAAACTTACTAGTCAGATAAAAAAGATATATATTTTTAAAAAATATTACTGCTCATTAACAATGCACCTAGTCACCCAAGAGCCCTGATGGAGATGTATAGGGAGATTATCATTTTCATGCCTGCTGACACAATAGCTGTAGCTCGTGGATCAAGAAATAATTTTGACTTTCAAGTCTTATTACTTAAGAAATAAGGCCAGGTGGAATGGCTCATGCATATAATCTTAGCATTCTGGGAGGCTGAGGCAGGAGGATCACTGGAGCTCAGGAGTTTGAAACCAGCCTGAGGCAAGAGTGAGACACCCCCCCCTCCATCTCTACAAAAAAAAAAAAAAAAAGAAAAGAAAGAAAGAAAAATTACCCAGATGTCATGGCTGGCACCTGTAGTCCCAGCCATTTAGGAGGCTGAGGCAGGAGGATCACTTGAACCCAGGAGTTTGAGGTTCATGTGACCTAGGCTGACAGCAAGGCACTAGCCTAGGGCAGCAGAGTGAGACTGTACCTCAAAAAAAAGAAAACTTCATAAAGCTATAGCTGCCACAGAGAGTGATTCCTTCAATGGTTCTGAGCAAAGTAAATTGGAAACCTGGAAAGGATTCACCACTCTGGATGCCATTACAATATTGGTGATTCCTGGGAAGTGGTTAAATTATCAACATTAAGAGGAGTTTGGAAGAAGTTGATTTCAACCCTCATGTATGAGTTCTACAGTTTTAGTACTTTAGGGGAAATCACCTCAGACACAGTAGAAATAAGCAAGAGAACTAGAATTAGAAGTGAAGCCTAAAGATGTGACACATTGCTGCAATTTCACAATAAAATTTTAACGCATGAGGAGCTACTTTCAATTGATGAGGAAGTTATTTCTTGAGATGGAATCTACTCCTGGTAGAGTTCAGACACTGTGAACATTGTGGAAATGACAACATAGGACTTAGAATGTTACATGCTATTAGTTGATAAAACAGCAGCAAGGTTTACAAAGATTGAGTCCAGTTTTAAAAGTTCTGCAGGCCAAATGCTATCAAACAGCATTGCATGCTATGGAGAAAATCTTTTGAGAAAGAAAATCAATCTTCACTGTTGTCTTATTTAAAAAAATTTGCCACAGCCACCCCAACTTCAGCATCTACCACTCTGATCTGTCAGCAGCCATCAACGTTGAGGCAAGGCCCCCCACCACCAAAAATTATAACCTGCTCAAGGCTCAAATGATTGTTAGCATTACAAACAGTAAAGTATTTTTTAATCAAGATATATATGTATATATTTTTGAGACATACTGCCATTAGACACTTAGCACATTACATGTAAGCAGAGAGGTAAGCATAACTTTTATATGCACGGGGAAACCAGTGAATTTGTGTCACATCATTGCACTATTTGCTTTATGGCAGTGATCTGGACCCTAACCCTCAAATGTCTGCAGTGTATTTCTGTACATAAATATTACATTAAATATGGCTCTTTTTCTTAGAAAAGATGTAACATTTGGTTGTGGAAGTAGATACGGGAATGTGAGTTATCGTGAAATGGTAAAGATGGTTGTTGGAAACCTGAGGGCAAGTTAACAGCAGAAGGATATGTATGGCTCGTGACACATGCAGGAACCTGAAGTAGCAGGGAGATGGTCTTTTTGAAAACAGTATTGAGATATACATGTAATAATATACCATACATGTCACCTATTTAAAGTATATAATTTGATAGTTTTTAGTATGTTCACAGAAATATCACCAAGTCAATTTAGAACATTTTCATCACCTCATAAAGAAACTCTGTAACCCTGTATCCTTTAGCTTTCACTTCCTTATCTCCCTAGCCGGCCCCTCAAGCCCTGAGCAACCGCGAACCTACTTACTGTCTCTGTAGATCAGCCTAACATGGAGGTTTCATATACATTGAATCATGTAATATGTGATCTTCTGTGACTGCCTGCTTCCACTTAGCACAGTGTTTGCAAGAGTCATCTGTGTTGTAGCATGTATCAGTACTTCATTCCTTTTTATGGCTGAGTCATATTTCATTGTATGATGACATATACCACAGTTTGTTTACCCATCCATCAGTTGTTGGATACTGGGTTCTTTCCACATAAGCGGCTGTAAACATTTGTATATAAGCTTTTCTATGGACCTGTTTTTTATTTCTCTTGGGAATAGACCTAGCAGTGGAATTGCTGGGTTATGTGGGAACTCCATGTTGAATCATTTGAAGAACTTTTTTTTTTTTTTTTGAGACAGAGCCTCAAGCTGTCCCCCTGGGTAGAGTGCCGTGGCATTACAGCTCACAGCAACCTCCAACTCCTGGGCTCAAGCGAGTCTCCTGCCTCCGCCTCCCAAGTAGCTGGGACCACAGGCGCCCGCCACAACGCCCGGCTATTTTTTGGTTGCAGCCGTCATTGTTGTTTTGGCGGGTCTGGGCTGGGGATTCGAACCCGCCACCTTAGGTGTACGTGGCTGGCGCCTTAGCCGGTTGAGCTATAGGCGCCGAGCCTTGAAGAACTTTTAAAGCATTTTCATACATGTTATAGTATTTCTCAGAGCAATCTAGTAAGATACTAATCTTTTTACCATTTTCTAGATGAAGATCCTGGAAAGCACACAGCTTAAGTGATTGTCCAAGCTCTTAGCCAGGAGTTGGTAGAGATTATTATCTAGATCATCTGATAATACAGATTTGGAAGAGTCCACTAATCCAAAAGTCAGGTTCCTGTCCTGTCTTCACTACTTAGTGGCCAAGTCATCTTAGACAAGTTGCTTACCTTCACGGATTCTCATATGTTAATATGATTAGTATAAAACTAATATGTACTTTGCAGAGTATGTCAGAACTGAATTAAATCAAATAGTAAGTGCTCAAAAATTGTTTGTCAAA